TGTTTGATGCGCACCATTCACAAGGGAACGACCACTAGGACCCTTAAGGGTACATGTTCAATGCAAGCTGCCTGACATTACCCAAGGCCAATAACGAGATTTCTTCTCAGTCTACCATGCGCAATTTTCTAGTTTTCAGATTTTGCCCTAGAAACGGATCATTAGATAAGATAAAGCTATTTTGCATAAGCAAAACAATGTCCTGGAAAGCTGACTCGCATTAACCGTAACAGATGTTTTCAGTTAGGATAAGCCAGATGAAGCTGTAGTACCGCTAATAGGTTTTAGCATACAAAATTACGTTACCCAAATTGGGATGCTGGTTCCACATTGAGTCTATTTGTACGAATCTACGTCAACCGACGTCGCTGTGAGGGGACTACCTAAATAATGTCAGTTGTGGTATTTACTAGGGGTTAATCTTTGAAGTAAAGCATACTAGACAACAATAGGATCCAGGTGGTTGTGTTTCCACGGTCATTATATAAGAAATACAGTTGAGCGTAAATGTTTGCTCTGCAGACAGGATATATTTTGTCCTACAAGAAAACTCATGATTGCGAGAAATGGTGAGGCATTATAATAATGGCTCACGGATCATCGTATGCGCATATTCCTCGATACCACCCTTGGGATATACCTCATATTTATGGCCAAACCTTGCAGACGCTGGGCGTGATAGCTCTTCTGATAGGATAGCTACACAGTTTTGCTTAAGTAAATGGTGAACAGCACTTATGTCCAAGTACAAGCGTGCGGTTTGGCCTTATCTACTATCAGAATTGAAAAACAATAGCTTCGTTAAAAAACAAATTAGCTCGCCTGATGTTCCACAGATAAAATGTATTTTTGTCGGGCAACAATATTGAGAAAAAGTAATTTGCAGTATAGCGGGACAATAAATACTATAATTTTATGTACTTTCCAAAAAAGCAGCAAAATTTAAAGGGTTGGTGAAAATTAATGAAAATAAAAAACCTTCACTTGAGAAGAAGACGATACTTGGGACAATACTTGTATTCGTCTGACGTTTCGATATCCGTCGCGGATTAATCATCAGAGACATAATCACAACGCAGTAGCAGATACAGGTAGTCTGTGCACATGAGACTATGCCGTATAAGACAATTAAAATCTAAACGTGTCCCAAAAATCGATAACTGTTTGGTGTGAGTGCTGATTCGCTACATCAGGCGTAGGACGACGTGGTGGCCTGTCCGTGCCCCAAATGGCGATAATACGACGGATTCGGCATGTTATGATTCAATAGCAGGTTGAGCGTCAGTAACGATGAGGTCTACCACATTCCTTTTAGCATAATGGTCTTAGGGAATTTGAAATTCGCGTAGACGCAGACTTGCGTTGAGGGGCCACGGTTTCACAGCAGCAATGGAGGGGACGGCTGGGGTCCTAAGTTAATGGTAGTGCCGTAGGAACCATTGCAGTCTGACACTCTGTTCTAAGTAGAGGACCATCTTATTCCGTCAGTAGGCTGCCAGTTAGGTCACGGGCAGCTACGGGCCTTGTGCGCAAGCGACTAACGCAACTACGTTATCCTGTCTACGCGCGTCAAACACGACCCTCCTGTCAATCAACACCAGGTTGACATCTGGGATCCCATGTCAGCGGAAGTGCCATAAAGACCACACTGAGAAGGAGCCATTACAACCAGTCTTTCAATCTCCTGGCTAAATGGGGCACACATGCACAAGCAGATAACTTGAATCCGGGGTTGCTGAGCGAAGTTTCTTTGCTTGAGTGGCAGTAGCATAGCCAGATATGACTGCGACAGGTTCCTTTGCTGATTTGTCTAGTTGATAAAATCATACTGTGGGCAAAAACGGTAACGAGAATTCAACAAATGCGAAAAATTCATGAAGTAATTCTGAACATTTCTGTGATTTGCACGTTCAGTGCATTTGCCCACTGTCGGTAAATCATAAGCTGAAGATTAAAGTCAGTTGTTGGTCTAACATACCACGTAGTAACTTCAGAAACCGAATGAAAGGTTAATCAAAACTAATAAGTGATGCTTATTGATAAATTAAGCCCACTTTTGACAGCGACTGACCATCTTGTCCGTCCGATCGTTTGTTTAAAACTTGACACGATTGATGGATACGTCTGTAAAGTGCCATTCAAAGCAGTGTACGCGTATTAAGAACGCCTGTATATATTTGCCTAACTGAAAAATCATGCATTTGAGTATTGACCTCGAAACGCAATTTCAACAGTCTCTTACGCAATCCCTTCAGGTAAACGAAATTCTGGCCGAATGCACTTGTAATCCAACCTTTCCAATGGTCCGTCTCAGCGAGGGACGTTATATTTATGGGGACAAAAATACGCCAATCTTTGTTCGAGTAAGTGAGCATTACATTTTATTTTCTATCTTACAGGCCCTCATTTCCAAGATCACCGTGAATTCTTCGTGTTACCTTTCGTGCTGCTAAAAAGAATGCTGACATCATAGGCACCTGGGCATTTTCGCAAATCTGTTTTTATCAGCGAAATTATTCAGGTCAACTCAGGTCAGGTTTATTAAGGAAAATATAAGCAAACGCCGGTGAAATCGCTACTGGTACAAAATAGTGAAGAAATACATCGGCGCAACAGAACAGGTTAAAAGAGAACGTTTATACAAGTACAGGTGAAAGTTCGTTAGTTCGAAGAAGTAAACGTATACGGCTACCCACTTTTTGCAAGTACTATACTTACGTGTGGGGATGCCAGTTTACACGAGTCAGTTGATGTAACTGAGCAAAAAAGACTGAAAAAACTCGTAAAGTATGACTCAGAAATCTTAGAAGTTGGAGTGTAAGTTGAGAGATTTTTAGAAGAAGAAACTGTCGCTCGTAGGATGAAGGTGTTATGACCCGCGCCTGGTACTGCTAATTAAGTCGAACGCCGAACCCAAGAGCCCGTGAGAGTGATACAGAGAGAAGACCGATTGGCCAAAGAGATGGAGTGTACTGAGACAAGCACGCTACAGCAAGCCAGAGCAAGTCATTCTCACACAAAGGCTGCCTGTACTTAAGAAGGAACGCGAGGCACATAGCTGAGTCAGTGGGCCAATCAGCTAGGAGGAAAAA